TACTATTTCCAGTAAGAATGTTAGAGAAAAAAATATAGAAGTTCTTTGCTTCTCTGACGTTCTTCACCTGTCTCTAAGCATGAGCGCGTATGCGCAAAAGCACAGGTGTGCTCTTGAGTGACACTTACATATGTATATCGTAAGTGCTTACGAGAGCATACCACGTTGACATTCTTGTCATCATCGTCTCGAGCGAGTTTTTTCTGGAAGACTCAGAGAAGACCTCTAGTTTTCTCTGGAAGACAGAGAAGAAGAAATATCACAGACAATTAACGTGGCAGGTATCTAGTGAGCAGCACACACGACCAAGGGCGTGCGCGAGTGCTCGCACTAGTATAGGGAATGTTCCATCTCGCTTTAAAAATTTATAGTTTAGTATTCTAACGTTTTCCGAAAATTATTTCTAGAAAATTTGATACTATTTACAATGTTGCCATTTTAGCATCAACAGCAACAAGTCCAGCAACAATATTCAATGGTAATGCAACAGCAAGGCGGAGGTCAGGCTCAGCACCTGCACCACTTGGCGGGAGCAGCCTCGCAAGCGAGCAAGTTCCACCTTCAAACAATGCAACTTCCGACCACTTCCGGGATTCAGGTGAAAAATTTGAGACAATAGAAAGGGATCTTTAGGGGGACGCTCTAGGGTTGTTCTAGAATGTTCTAGGACATTCCAGCAAATTAATTAATCCCAGAATGTTGGCCATTTTGCATCCATAATAGAATCCTAGGATATTTTAAGAGATCCGCCTGTCAAATTTGCTATGGGAAAATGGGAAGCGGAGCTGTGGGAATTTAGTATAGCCATAATTATGTTGTTTGATGCAACTTTTCCCACAATGCTACGAGAAACTTGTGACATTTTCTAACGGAAACTACATTTTCTTGACCAACAAAAAGTGGAAAATTAATTTACTTGAAGAAAATTTTCTCGAGGAAATGTATTGTTTCCATCTCAAATCTGTCATATTTTGCATTAGTTGATAAGTTTTTCTTAGAGCTGAGTTGGAACTGTAACCTAATTATAGTTCTTGAATTTTTTGTAATTAGAAAGTACCAAAATTGGAAAAAATGTGCAAATTTTCGAAAAAATGCCAAATTTTTGCATAATATAACGGTTATTTTAGACCTCCTCCGGACGCCAAGGTCGCATACTTCCCCCGAGCACAACCATTCTCGCTTCCGGCTCGAACGGAACCACTCTAATGATGCAGCCAACTATAGGCGCGGTCCTCTCAGGCCAGGCCAGTGCTTCGGCCTTGCACTCGGCCCATGCGCAACATCACTCTCAGCAACACTTGCAACATCATCCCGAAATGCAGACTTTGCATCATCAGTCTGCAGTGCTTGGATTAGGTTGGTCAAGGCATTTTTTGAAAGATTTTTGCACTTTGCCGGGTTTCAAATCTATGTAAAGACCACACACAGTGACCATTCAATGTGTGTGGTCTTCTGGCCCACCCCTGGTGCGGGATCATGACACTTGGCCCCCGGGACACTTGGCCCCCCAGTATAAAGAAAGCATTCTAGCGCATTCTAAACCATTATGGAACATTCTAGAACCATAGAGAATGTTAAAAAATAATTTAGGCAAATAAATTAGGCCAAATAACCCTTATCCCTAAATACTAAGCGGCGTCGTGCGGATGGATGGATGTCTGTAACGCCCCGTGTCATCAATCATCCAGAAATATCCAGCATTCAGATCAGGGCGTGTGATAGCTCAATCGATAGGTCTCAAAAAGTTAGGTCCGGGAAAATTGTCAGAACCAAAATTTGAATATTTGAATTCGCGCCAAAACCGAAAAACGTGTTTTTAAGGGTTTTAACCTGGGGAAGTGATGTTTTTTATGTTCCCAATCGATTTCTGAGGCGATTCTGGACCACTTTGCTTTTTACACTTTTTGATTTGGCGCATTTTTGAAAAAAGGCACTTTTTGGCCAAAAAATCGGGTTTTTTGATGCAATGTGTCTACGGGTCTGATTTTTGGCACCCGGGGGTTTTCGGGTACGCTGATCACGAATCTGACGTCAGATTCGAGATTTGAATATTTGAATTCGCGCCAAAACGCAAAAACGTATTTTTAAGGGTTTTGACCTGGGGAAGTGATGTTTTTTATGTTCCCAATGTATTTCTGAGGCGATTCTGGACAATTTTGCTTTTTACACTTTTAGATTTGGCGCATTTTTGAAAAAAAGCCACTTTTTGGCCAAAAAATCGGGTTTTTTGATGCAAGCTGTCTACGGGTCTGAATTTTGGCACCCGGGGGTTTTCGGATGCGCTGATCACGAATCTGACGTCAGATTCGAGATTTGTTCTCACGAGGTCGTGTTATTCTCACCAGGTCTCTCACGAGGTCGGAACTTTCCCGGGCGGGATGCTCTACTCCCGAACAATCCTTACTCCCGAATAACAGCTGTTGAGGGCCGAAGGCCCGAAATAGTCTCATGCTGCTCTACTCCCTAACAATCCTTACTCCTGAATAACAGCTGTTGCCCCCTATACATAGGGGGCATACTGATCCAGACTCCCCGCGGCCTAGGCCGCGTTAGCGGCCTAGTAAGGGATTAACGAAGTACTTAGGCTACTTAAGCTTAGGCTTAAGCGCCCGAACAACCCTTACATTAGACAAATTGACGGAAATTATTTTTTAAACATTCTCTATGCTTCTAGAATGTTCCAGAACCGTTTAGAATGCGCTAGAATTCTTTTTCTATACTGGAGGCCAAGTGTCCCGGGGGCCAAGTGCCGCGTTCCCGAGAGAAGAACTTGCATTGCGCCGTTAACAAAGGGGAAGAAAAGACCACACAAGTCGTTTATACTTTTGCGGCATCGACACAAAATTAAGTAAAAATAGAAAAAATTTCTTCTGGAAGAATTCTTGAAAATATCCTGGAAAGTTGCGCTGTAATTTATAATTTTCGTTCTAGGCTTTCCAGAACAAGACAGTAAAGTGTGGCACATGTTATAAAGCTTTGTTTCTTGGCAACGCAAATTATCAAGTGACATGTTCTCAACTTTGATCTTTGCTCTGATCTTTGAACTTGCTCCCTATTTCCTGTGGAAATGCAACGAAAAAACAAGAAAAGAAAAATACTTAAAAAATCTAAGATGTGCAAAAAATGAATGAAAATTAAAAATCTGACAAAAGGACAAAATTTGGAAAGGAAGGACGGAATCAAACAATTTCTATGCCCATATTTGCAGGTCACCCTTCGCATCTCGGCCAACAACACGTCATCATCACGAACGAACCGTTGGATGGAGACAGGGCGTTTGCGCTGAGCGTGGCCGCGGATTTGGCGGCTTTGCCGGAACATGCCAGGTATTTTTTGAAGAGAATTTGTACCCAAGAGTGGATATGGTACACATGGATATGGTACATTTTTTGGAATGAAGTTCTAGAACATTCTAGAATATGATGGATGATCCATGCTCTAGAATGTTCTAGATATTTCTGTCATGGTCTTTAGATCTATAGAAGCGTCTAGAATATCATAGAATGTTCTATGATCAAGGAATATTCTAGAATTTTATGTAGCGTTCTATACACATGTAGATGCTTCTAGAAGATTATAGAATGTTACTTGATCATGCTTGAGAGCATTCTATGATCTTCTAGATGGTTCTAGAAGCTAATAGAACATTTTAAATATTCTAGAATGTTCACCAACTATGGAACATTCTAGAATGTTCCAGATGGATCCAAAAGCTTTCTAGAAGATATAAACCGTATGTAAGAAAGTACCATTGGGGCAAATTCCCTGTTAAATTTGAGCATTATTTTCTACATTAATTTTCTTCCAGAAACATGGCAAGAGCCCAAATCCAGCATCTCCTGCAGAACTCCAAGATCACCATCGTCAAGGCTTAAGCTCAATACGGACCGACATCCAAGTTTATACTCTTTTTGTTACATTCTAAACTTGTTTCATAATTTTCGATTGTCGGCAACGAAATTCTGTGAATTTTCTGAGAAGTTTCTGTCATTTTTGTATAAAAAGTTTGCATTTTGGTGAAATTTGGATTCTTGGATCAAAATTTTGAGAAAATTTTGATCTCTTTCTCATCGAATTTCGTATTTTTGTTGTATATAACCGATCTTTTCTGTGTGTTTCGACTGTATATATCTCATATCGATTCTATTTTTGTTTGATTCAAAATTGTCAACTTTATCAGATATTTTTTTCTAAAGTACCGAATTTATACTCTGGAACCAGGCAGGTGCTTTTCATGCTAAAAAGCACCTGCATATACCTGGGAAAGCTCGAGAAAAGCTCAGAAGCTGAGTTATAGCTCATTTGAAAGCCCTGAGCCAGAGCTTCAAAATGAGCTATCACATAGCTCCTGAGCTTTCCTGGATCGGCAGGTATAAGCAGGTACTTTTAGCATGAAAAGTACCTGGCTGGTACTTGAGTACCGGTTTGGATTCTTTAAAGACTGTCAGGAAATGCAAAAAAACTGCCTGTCAAAATCTCTCTGTTTATATGTTTCTATGTATTTAGCTTCCAGAAAACCGTGTGACTATCCTGAATATCCTCTGAAATCTTGCTGCTGTTTCTTTTCTCTATTGTCTGAACGCTTTGTAATGAACTGGACATAGGCAAGTTATTATCCATAGACCGCGAATTATACTCATAACCATGTGATTGTCATATAATGGGATAATAAAGGTATTTTTATTTCGTAAAAAATTGAGTTTCTTTTTTCATCATATTTCTCCTCTTTTGAATTTTCAACCACTTGTTGAAGTTCAAGCTTTTCAAACATTTTGGGCCTAAAAATGTCAAAATCTCTATTTTCGTGGTAGGACCAAGCAGAAATAAATATCAAATTCGGACTCAGCGTGGTCGAAAATGCCCATAAAAACATGTTTCCTGACGTTTTTTGAGAGAAAATATAAATTTTAAAAATTGTGGTCCCGACACGAAAAGTGGGCTAAAATCGTCTCTAATCAAAAACTTGGACATGCCAACCTTTTAACATTCAAAAAAAATTTTAGCAGCGCCTCGTTTCGATCGAGGGACCTCTGGGTTATGGGCCCAGCACGCTTCCACTGCGCCACGCTGCTACTTGCACTCAAATGAACTAAATGTGCTCATATACTATGCCTTTATTTTTTAATCGTCTCATACGACCATACCGCTGAAGAAAAAGTTGTTCGGTGAGTCGAATGCTATCCGAAAAACACAATTTCAGCGAGAAAAAAATTTTCAAATTTTTTCGAATTCATGAGGTCCCCCCTATGGTGAAAAAATCGATTTTTGTACCATAGTTATATCGCTACATTATCGGTGTTTTAGCCTAAAACACCGATAATGTAGCGATATGACGAGCGGTCTTTTGAAAATTGCTCAGGAGACTTGTACGCATCTTAACAACGAACAAAAAAATCATAGCACTTCAAACCCTCCTAAAACTTTTAGGAGGCTTTGAAGCGCTATGATTTTTTTGTTCACACTCTATATCCGTAGACCGCGAATTATACTCATAACCATGTGATTGTCATATAATATATGGGATAATAAAGGTATTTTTATTTTGTAAAAAAATTTTTATTATATTTTTTGATCATATTTTTTGTCTTCAAACTTTTTGTCACCGGTTTCAGGCTAAATTTGACAATAAAATACTTTTCAGGACACCAAAATGTTTGTTTTTGGTACTAATTCGAAATTTTGTGTCAAAAAATATTTGCTAGCAATCAGAAGGAAACTGGAGACAATAAAGATTAGACTCCAGGTAAGACTAAAGTTCATTGATCACCCAAAATGTTTCTTAGTTTGAAGCTAGAAACATTCTCGCCTTCAGTTTCCGGGACTTCGATACTTTGCCGATCGCAACTTATCATATTCTAGAAGCTCTTCGAAACAAAATGGATTCAAAATTTTAAAATTCCTATCTCGATCGATATTCTATACCGAAAGTCGGGAATTCGATAAAATTCGACACGATTCCGACGAAATTCGATAAAATCCAGAAACCTCCGATCCCGGATTGTCGACTTTCCGGCAAACGTTAATCAACTTTTTTCTTTCTCAGAAATTTGCTGGACACGACTTGTTTTGTTACAGCTTTTCAATGTTTATGCTTTTTTCAGGATGCTCTTTTCATACAGCCGACCAAAATGGCTGCCATTCGCAATGGAAAATATCGATTTCCGAGAAGACAGCAAGGCCTTTCGAGCCCTTTTGTGAGCGTCTTTCGCAATACAAACAGCGCATCTGCTTTTTTATCTTCCGTGGAACATCGAACCAATGATGCAACGAAAGATCAAAAGTTGTTCAGAGGATAGTGTACAATGTAGAGTTAGAGAAAAAAAGATACAGAGTTTGCTTTAACCGTCTGTTCTCTCTATGTATGTCTTTTTCGTCTTCTCTGTGCTCTGGATGAAAAACGGGGAAAATAATGAACAAATGACTCGACTTACTTTTATCCGGGGGAAAGGGTCTGGAAGGAAATTTTATTATCTTTTCACCTTTACACAGCTTTATTTGTCTTAAACACCAGTGAAAGAAAGGAGGAGAGAAATAGTGTGGAAAACAAATCTTGTCTCCATCTATCTCTCTTCTCTTTCCCTTGTCTGAACAAGAAGCAGACATTTTCATGTCTTTTCTCCTTTACACACAGTGCATGTAATAGATAGCACCAGAGAAAGAAAGAAGAAGAGAAATAGTGTGGAACACACTACACACAAAATATTTTTACAATGACTTGGTCTTCTCTATTATCGATCTTTCTTCTCTCCCCCCGGTCTGGGAGAGGGGGCAGGGGTAAAGCAAAGATTTGACATACAAAAGAAGACTCTGCTCTACACACACACCATGTAATACCAGAGAAAGAAAGAAAAAGAGAAATAATGTGGAACACACCACACTGAATGAAATACGCACACACACACATCTTTTTGCAATGCCTTGCTCTTCTCTCCCCTCCTCTGTCTGAGGGGGAAGCAAGAGGGGAAGCACTGGTGTGACACACAAAAGAAGACTCTGCGGCCGCCACTCCCAGCCAACTCCTCCGCTATCTGACATACACACGGTCGCACACATTCGGGGGCTATAGCCGCAGTGTTGAAATGGAGGAGTGTCTTCGCGTTTGGCGTCTTTCGTTTCGGTTTTGACTGACAGTGCTGCGCGTTGTTTTGATGAGGATTTTTGCTAGCGATGAGATTTTTATGTGAAAGTGGGGAGGAAAGTCGTCGAGATTGGCTGTTGCCATATTGGGATTGCCTTATTTGGACTTGGGATTCTGTGTTATTTTTGGATTTGGTATTGAAAACGAGTCTAGGTGCTTATTATCGCTTCATAAGCGCTCGTATTGGCTTTAGTCTCGAGTTTTAGTTAAGATCTTGTGGCACAGTGTAGGTTGGAAGTTTCTAGAATTTTGCTAGAAGTTTTAGATTTCCCTTTTTGAAATTAAGTTAAGAGTAAATTAAGAGTAAATTAAGAGTACAGTCATATTTTGATTGGAAAATTTTATAACTGTTGCCTTTCCTTTTAGTCTAACTTTTTCTGGAACATTCTAGAAGAATTAATAACAGTGAGAAAAAATTCTTTAGTCCAAAAACTGTACTTTGATGACAAAAAAGTTTATGGGAACCAAGAAAAAAGATTAGTCGCCTGTCTTTTAAGAGAAAATGTCCCGGGGAAACGGGCATTTCGCCAAATTTTTTGGAAACTTTGAAGCGGGATAAAATTTCAAAAACGAATGTTTTGCATTAATCTTAAACTCATTTCATTTTTGTCTGTCGAAACAAATTTCATTGATTACTTATCTCATCTTTCCTAAATAAAAATATGGTCAAGACTTGATGCACTTTTAGCATTTTTCCATTAGCAAATTTTCCATTACAAAGGTTTGTATCAAAATTAAGTCGAATTTTTTATTTTCCAAATCTCGAATTTCTTTTGATATTCGATCACCTGATAGGTATCTTAAGAATAAACCAGAAGAAACTGCCCAAAAACATTATGTCTACCTGTAGTTTATGAAATCCGTGAAAAATCTAAATCCGAGATTAAGAAAAAAAACTGGAGAATGATCCTCTATAAACTAATCGTCTACCTTATACAAAATCATATTAGATCACCTGACAGGTATCTCAAGAGTAAACCAGAAAAAATGCCCCAAAAATTATGTTTACATGTAGTTTTATGAAATCCTTGACGAAAAAGTTCGAGAACTAGTTCGAGATTAACAGAAAAAATTCGAGAATTCCTCTTAAACATATCCCTTATACGTATCAGATTCACATTTTTCCTTTACCATGATTCATACCTGGATAATCTGTACTATAATCTCAACTTCCAGGCAAATATGACCGCTGGCCACGGATCTACCTGCTGCGTTTGTCACGAGACTCTTTCCAACAGGGACACGCTGGAGATGCACCTTGCTACCGAGCACGTCTTCTATTCGGCCTACGAGTGCGAACATTGCAAGACTGCTCTGTTCCCGACCGACTATGCCCTTCGGCAACATTACCAACTGGATCACCGACAGACTAGCTTTGTGGTATGTGAGGAATTTTGTACTTTTATAGTTTACTCGCTTTATAGAAATTTTTTATTGTTAGATTGATTCTCAGCCAGTCCTCCCATCTAATAAGTTCCAGAACCTTCTAGAATGATCCTAGAAGCTAATTTTTAGCTAAGGAGGTGGCAATAAGCATGCCCCCGGGGTATTTTCACTCAAAAATTTTTGAGGTGAACTCCTATAGCTTGGCTCAATAGTGAGATTATTTACCGTAAAACCTGTAATTTAACCCCTCTTGTTTTACCCCCCCCCCCCCTCTAATTCTGTCCCCCTAGAGGTCGATCGAGTAATTATGCCCCCCCCTCTAATTTCCCCCCCCCCCAAAATGCAAATTTTTCCAAAAATGCCAAAAATTCAAATTTTTGGCGCAAATTCAAATTTTTTGCCAAAAATTTGAATTTTTTACCTATTTTTTACCATTTTTTGCAAAATTTTCCCAAACTTTGCAAAAATTTGCCAAAATTTTGTAAAAAATGGCATAAATTTCGAAAAAATTCAAAATTTTTTGGGCGGGAATTCAAATTTTGAATTTTTTGAGCAAAAATCCCAAAAACCTCGATCGCGTAATTTTACCCCCCCCCCGCCCTTTATTTTTACCCCCTCTAATTTTGCCCCCCCCTAGAGGTCGATTGAATAATTCTGCCCCCGGGGGTTAAATTACAGGTTTTACGGTATCTCTATCCTCTCATATAATAAGTTCCAGAACTTTCTAGGGACCTCCAAGGTTTCTTTTGAAACATTCTATAAACATTTTTTAGAGTATTCCTGAAAATTTTGCTTATTTATGGGAACAAAATAGCTCAAAAATTGTAACTTTCTATAAAAAAGTCCTAGCCAAATCCGGAAGGCCTGTTTATTGCCACTTTCTTAGCTACAATTTAATTACTTGGAGTGTTCTAGAAGATTCTAGTCTGTTATATCAAGGGAAAACTGAGATAGAAATCAAAGTTTAGCACAGGTAAATTCGAGACCAAGCCATAAAAACGCCGATTTTTCTTAAACTTCCTCATTTTCATGGATTTATTTCAGATAAGGTACCGAGTGACTCCGAGTCTCCAGAAGAAGCGCGACTTGCTGGAAAAGCTTCTCAATACCTCACTCAGTCAAATCCATACTACTTCAGCCAACGTGACTCCTCCGAATTGCAACTCTGTTGAGTCGCAGATTCAAGATCGAGTTCAGTTTCAGGATCGGACGCAGTTTCAGGATCGAGCTCAGTTTACGGATCGAGCTCAGTTTCAAGATCGAGCCCAGCTTCAGGATCGAGCTCAGTTTACGGATCGAGCTCAGTTTCAAGATCGAGCCCAGCTTCAGGATCGAGCTCAGTTTACGGATCGAGCTCAGTTTCAAGATCGAGCCCAGCTTCAGGATCGAGCTCAGTTTCAGGACCGGGCCCAGTTTCAGGATCGAGCTCAGTTTCAGGACCGGGCCCAGTTTCAGGATCAAGTGCCAGCCAATAGCGCTTCAGGGCAAACTAACGGGTCTTGGCAAAACGGGCAAATGCTTTCGTTCTCGACTCTGCTCAACTTCAAT